GCGCTCTTTCGGTCAAGCTCTATGCATTGGAGCTTTAGTCACTAAGGTCTTCCTGAAATTTGTGAAGGTGAACACCGACGATCGTAATCAGCTTCGAAAGTTAGGAGTAAACCTTCTTGTACGAGACGTTCAAGAGCAGCATTTTGACTAAGAAATGAAAGCAATCGGAAAGGGAAAAGATATTAGCCGGATATCAAACCTCCTTCAGCTATATCCGTTAATAGACGATGATGGATTGCTAAAAGTTGGAAGACTCGCAGCTGCTGATTGCCTAAACAAGAAAGCCAAATTTCAGATGATCTTGTCTCCGAACGAACACTCACTTTTCGAGAACAGTGATCCGCCTTAGTCCCATTGTTCAACTACAGTGGAATGAACGCCACTGTTGCTCACACTCGGCAGCAGTTCTGAATCATACGAGTCAAGACGATGTCGCGAGCAATGATAGGCAACTGCATCACTTGCTTCAGGTTCCATAGTAGAGCAATGAATCAGTTGATGGGAGGTTACCCTTGTGAGAGAATCAACCCATCACCACCATTCTCTTATGTTGCTATCGACTTAGCCGGACTAATGTACTATAAGGAAGCCGATCAACTACAAGTGTTACAAAGTAGTTTTCCTTTCCTTTTCCACTAAAGCAATCCATTTGAATTTTGCTTGAAGCTTATCAGAAGGTTCATTGCTCGACGAGGATGCCCAAAGTAGATCTTCTCCGATAATGGTACGAACTTCATCGGATCACTCAACGATCTAACTCAATTGAAGAGACTTCTACAGGATAGACACAAGATAGACAGCCTAACTGATGATGCTCCAGACTTCGGTATCAATTGGACTACTATACCTGCAAGGGCTTCAACCTTCGAAGAGCTATGGGAAAACTGCTATGGGAAATCTTCAACTTGAGATGTACACAGTGCTTTGTCAGATAGAAGCTATACTCATCTCAAGACCGATCACAACGATCTCAGATGATGCCAAATACACTGTGCATGATGATGCCAAATATACTCCATCAATGCTGCTATATGGCTTCAAGTCAACTCAATTGACCATTGTTGCTGATCTTACTAATGATGAGCTTACTGAAGATGAAAAATGCCCGAGAAAACAATTCAACTACCTGCAAAAACTGATTGCAGAATTCTGAAAATTTAATATCTAACCGCTATGCAACAACGCAATAAGAACCGCGTAGAGCATTAAAATTTGAAAAAGGCAGATCTAATATACATAACTGATGATAAGCCCCCTTTATCATGGCCACTTGGAATCGTGGAAAATATTTATGCCGAGAACGATAGTATAGTGAGAGTGGTACAAGTAAAAGTAGGAAATGGGAAGCTTAGTACATAACGGATTTTGAGATTGCGGAAATTGCCGATGAAAGACGAGAGATAAAACAACAAACTCTACAAACAAACAGATCAAAAACAAAATTCAAAAACAATGGTCAGTCATCCAACTCCTCTTCCTCGTCCTTCTTCTAAACCCATCATTCCGACATTTCCTATAACGATGATTTCTACTCCTTTTCTTCGCCACAGGATCAGGGTCTGCATCAACCAACTCCGTCCACCTGAGGACCACCCGACACTCCCAATTCACCTTCGTCACCTTCTCCACAACTTCCACCTGCCACGCAATCAATCCCGACAACTTCACACCCGCCTTCTTCTTTCTGCATCCAAAATTCACATCTATCTGAAATGCAAAAAAATTGATCAAATATCAACGGGGCGGTAATGTTGGAGCAAACAAAGCATGTTTTAAATAGCAAGATTATTTTTTCACACGTAAACTCAATTAAAAACGCATGTTAATTTTCCCATAAGTCATTCATTTCATTTACTCGCAATTTATAGTCACTAAATCGTCAGTAATTCAATTTTCCTACGATACAGTTGCTTTCCAGCAATCGCGAATTATTCACCAAGACCTAACAAGGATCGCCAAATGCAAACAACAGAGAAAAAACTTCAAGTGACTGTCTTTTTTGTGTGGTTGGAGCACAGAATGTTCCGACCACCTTTTCAGGAAAAAAATTCAGAGTCTTTTTTGTACATCTACAATTACATGATACAATTATACGAACGCGTAGAAAATAAGTTAATTAGGCCTAAATGAATTGCGATACAACAATCATAAAATAGCATAAGTCGAAAAAAATGAAAAATGTTAAAAAACTAGGTGAACCAAAATTTTCGTATGTCTCGATTAAGGGCACCTAGGTCTCGATGAAGAAAACTTTTTCTGCTAAAAGCAGGTCATGGCCGATAAAAAAAAGATTCCAAAAAAGTGATTTTTTCGATTGAACACTTATTCCGAGAATTGGCACCTTTATTTTCGAGCTGAGTCAAAAACGGTCAAAGTTTCAAACTTCCAAAAAACGGTCAGTGTCTCAAAACTAAATGGGCACAGCATATTATGAAGGTAAGCTTCCAACAAGCTGTTGTCTTTTGAACATATGATATCAGATTTAGCAGGATAGTTTTCGAGAAACGTCCATAAAACGGCCAAAACATTAGGAAGTTGACATTTTCGAGAATCATAGAAATCATAAAAAATTTAAATCTTCCTTGAAACTACCCTATAGTTAACCAGTACTCACCCAGTAGTCGATATTTCATGAAATTAAGCATGTCGGCTGTGATCAACTGTAATTCAACATACGAGACTCAATTGATTTTGTCAAATTAGTTGTTAACCCGAAAAAAGACTACCTTCCGATTTGATACCGCTTGCTAATCGCAAGCGTAAATATTTGTAGAAAGATTTTTTGCCAGAGAAGTGCTCAATCAAGCTTCCTTTTAGTAAAATCAAGTTATTTTAGCCTAATTTTCTCATTTTTATATATAACAAACGTTACTTGATCGCTTTATTCGCTCAAAAATAGACTAAAAATCAAATTGAAATTTCAAACCGATTTTTCTGGACAGTACAAATCATTTTTGGAATTTCAGAATGTCATTTGAATCACGACTACAAAGGCTTTAATATGAAATATCACACGCTCCTGTCAATGACTATTTGAGGTACTTGAATTTGCGTGGAAAACAAAAAAGTTTTAAAATAATCAAAAAAACTAAGACACACCCGAATACAAAACTCCTCCTCATTTTCCATGGTCGGGAAAAAACCAAACAAAAATGACTGATTTTGTTTTTGGGAGACTTCATACTTCCAGAGAAAAAATATATCACGCATTAAAAAGTAACCCAATTTGAGAAAAGTGTCATAAGGAAACTTCCGCTGGGAAATATTAAAATTTAAACCCACTTTCGAAAATAAATTGAATTCAGAAGTAAAATCGCAAAAAAACCAAATTTGAGCGTGAGCAACTTTCCTGGAAAAACCTATATAAACATTCACACGACCTATGAGGCAAATAGTCTATCAACTAAAGAAAAGAAAAAAATGACTGATATATTATTAAACGTTTTTGAAGTACCACCGAATGTTCCGACAAAATTCTACAAAAATCGATTGTTTCATTTTCATTCAAAATAGTGTAATTTCTTCTGCGCGGCGTGATGAGAGAACTATGCAAACATGTAGAAAGTTATTAAGATAGGCATAGTCGACGACAACAATTTTTTTCAAACTTTCTTGAACTTTTTGCTGAAGCGCTAAGTGAAGCTTCCAGAACAAAAATTCTTTTACGTACAATCATGTTTCCTTAGCCTAGAGGCCTAAAACAAAATTAAATTTTGTTATAACGATCGCTGCTCGATCGCTCTACTCGCTCGAAGTGGAATTAAAGAAACTAAATTTGAACTTCTTGGAGTTCTCTTAACCTATATGATCAATTTTTCTACACCGAGGAAGCTGAGCACTTTACCGCACTTTACACACACAACCGCACTTTATTCCCCCGTCAAATGAAACAATTTGAGGCCACGAAGCCGATATAAAATAGGCCGAAACCTATTAAGCCGAAAAAAATCAAAAAAAGTTTAAAACTAACAAAAAGTTATTAAGTACTCCTCAGCCTCAACACACACACAACCAAAAAAAATTTTTGCTCCTCGAACGACGCAATATGATGATACTCAGCCGATATATTATACGCCGAAACTTACTTTGCCGATTAAAAAAATAGAGCGGACAAAATTCAAAAAAATTTAAGAATACTTTAAAGTTATTAAGTTCCCTTCGCCCTCAAAACACACACCCATAAACTTATTAAGCCAAAAAAAATTCAAAATTTTAAGACTTTCTAAAAAATATTAATTCCCTCCTCACCCTCAAAACACACACACACACACACACACACACAAAAAAAAAAACTTTCAAACTTTTCCCTCGTCAAACGAGGCAATATGCGGCCACTAAACCGATATAATATAGTTCGAAACCTATAAAGCCTAAAAAAGGGAAAGGAAAAAAACAAGAACACATGAATATTTAACAAATCGAGTTGGTAAAATTACAAGCGACATATAAAATATTTGAACAGGTCAGATATTTAAAATCCCCACAAGCACAAAGATAATATGCAGCGGTAAATTGGTTATCGGCAGCGGTAAATTGGCTGCTAAGAGGCTCCATGGAAATGAGTCCAGACGAGAAGAGTCCTGTGAACAAAGTTGTTTACGAGAAAAAAAAAGTCTAGTACCCAGTTGCAATTCCCTTACTTATCGCAAAGGTAATAACGAACGCTCGAAATCAGACTCTTCAAAATTAGACTCGCTTGAGATTAGACGAAAACTCAAATTTTCAGGACGGTTTTTCTCGACACTGGGACAACTTCTGAAATTTTTCAATGTAGTTCGTATCACGATGAAAGGTCTTTAATATGATGATCATTTGAGGTACATCCCGATGATTATTTGAGGTACATGATTTTTCGTGGAAAACAGAAAACCCTCAAATACAAAGTTTCTCCCCATTTTCAATAGTCGGAACATTAGGTGTCTTCGTTTCGTTACTTGACACTTAATTAATTCAATAATGTAGTTATAACGAGACACTTCAATAATAAAGTTATAACTCACTTGAAACAGAACTTCTGGAATGTACATTGACTCTTCATCTCGTCTAGAGAGCAAGTCTTAGCGTAGGGTATGTCGTCTAGTTGTATTAGTACGAACAAATTATGAGCGGGTGGCATGAAACTGTACACTTTAGGACTGGCAAGGTCCAATACTTCTTTGATCTCTAAATAGAGGTTCTGGCACTCTCTGCTCTTTGCCTCCATTAGTTTCTCTACACTCTTCTGTTCAAGGAGCTGTCCGACCGAGGAGGAGAAGGGGAAGCTGCCCTGGCACATCATAAGAGACGACATCCATTCCTACGAACATCAAATTATTATCAACGAGGTACCAAAAAGTCCAACAAGTAAAGCCACTTGTTAAATACTTAATTCAACGCCGTAAACTCTTAAAATCCTTAGTATTGATTGATTCCAGTTGCAATAAAACAAACAAATTACAGAAATGTCTATTGAATAAATCGATCTTTTCTCACCAAAAACCGTGTTCAAGCCTCAAGGTTTACACAGAGGCGAAGCTGTGCTTCGCAAACACAAGCGAGGAAAATGCAAAAAAGAGCTCTAAACAGGCAAAACAAAATGAAGGAAAAAGGAAAAAATTATAAATACACCTTGAGAAAAATTTTGAATAGCAATTTTGAAATTAGGAGTATCACGCTCTCACATCTGCTTCACGTCCACTTGTAATTTTAGTAACACTAGCCACCAATTCAGCAGCAAAAAATCAAGCAAAAAAACTATTTCTATGTTCCAGTTTTGAATCTCCGACCTGATAATTAGGAGTGTCACTCACGTCCTCGCATCTGCGCCAGGGTCACTAGGAAGTAAACTAGTGGCCCAGCTAATGCTGGATATACCTGTTCTTATATTTTTTTTATCAATTATTGTTCAAAATTTCAACAAAAAAAAGATTTTTACGCAAAGCCCTAGTAATTTCTATGCTTAATTAGGAGAGTAGCTGTTTATTAGAAGGAGAAAACTACTACTCGCTCTTTCAATTAGATTATTTGTCTCAGATTCAGCTGGGTAGTTTCGAAAACAGTGAAAAAGATTGAAAAGCGATCAAAAATTTCACTATTCCTAAATCCATAAACTTTTCTCGACTTAAGCAAGGGCTTAACCTCTTAAGCAGGGAAATTTTACACGCCCTGATTTCTAGATTGAATTATTCATATCAGGCTTAGCAAGTAGTTTTTGAGAATAGTGACGAAATTAAAAACAAAAACGGTTAAAATTGTCAAAAAATGGAATTTCCCGCATTCCACATCGGTTTTTCTGCAAAAACATAGGGTGAAACACGTTATGCAGGAAAAACCTGAGCACCATGCTAGTTTGAATGAGTTATCAACCTTAGAATTAGCAGGTTAGTTTTTGAAAAAAAAAGTTTTAAAAAAAGGGCAAAGCCGCTTGCACAGGGAAGATTCACATTTTCGGTTAAACCCTTTATCTCATTTGACAGGGTAGTTTTTTGAGAAAAATTTCAAAATTAACCAAAATGCCAAAAATACCCCACTGAAACTTTCGAAGGCCGTAAAACGTAGGTAAATTGCGATAGATTGTTTTTGTTTATTCAAACATTCATCTCAGATTTGTGTATTCAATATTTGAGAAAATGCAAAAATTCAAAACAAATCGGTAAAGTCAAAAATCCCCCTACTGAAACTTTCGAGGGCCGTAGAACGTAGGGTAAAATGAAAAGAAACTAACGAACTATGCAGGCACATAGAAGAGGAAGCCCGTTTGTCCATTGGTACCATTTTTGTGGAAAACGGTTCAATAGTTGTTGGAAAAAAAAGAAACTTCGGCGAAAAGTACAAAAATTTTCCAAACTGTCGAAAAAACAAAACAACAAATCCCATACATTTTCATAACATCTCCAGAAATAAACGCAAGCCAAAAAGAACATATGCTATTAAATTTTCTATGCCTAAATAGGCTTAAATAAGGTTAAATTGAAAAATACCAAAATTGCCACCAAATAAACACTTTTATTTGCTACTTCGGTTTTAAAAAATTATCATTTTTATACATTACGCCTCGCTTGTGTAAATAATTAGCCTCAAAGTTACAATAGTCTTAAATTATAGAAATGATTTTCACACTCGCGGGTTGCAGAGATACATGCCTGTCGTTCCTGTGCGGATATGGCGGCTAAATATAGAATTCTGGGTTGGGGGTCGGAGTTGAATCGGGTGACGATCTGGAACGCAAAGTTCCTGTCCGACAGACTGCTGTCAATCGGGTACACTTGTGATGACGTCATGTCTATCAGATCTTTCGGTTTCTTGCGCTGAAATGAAAACTAGTAAAGCTACTTTGTCTAGGAATGCCAATTCGATAGGCCAAATGTATAGCTAATACCAAATCTCAGATCCTTCTACTCACGTTGAATGTCAATAGATAAGACTACTTACTGAGCAACCTTTTTCATTGCATTCTCGGATCTCTATAACTATTCCCTAAGAGCAAGGGGTAAAATGAACAAAAAATATGCTTAACCGCTGAATTATTCCTTTATAGGTGTAGATACTCGTTAATAGGTACCATAGGGGGTAGAGATTGTTAAAGAGATCCAAACTCTTTTTCCAAGTAAAGTTTTAGGAAAAAATACTGAGCGAGTTATTAGCTATACAGTTAGAAACATCCATACAACGACAGTGATTGTCAGGCTTCCGAAGCGAGTGTACCACATCAATCAAGGACAAGACGCACTTCCCAAACATTGTTACATTAGTTAAACCCGCAAACTTTACAACGCTGAAATCTAGAGACTATAACTTACTTTCTTGCATTTAATTGGAAGAGCAACAATCTATAAGCTACAATTAAATTAATAACTTCACAAAACTTCTCATATTTTTTGCTTAAGTAACTCACCGTTGTGTTATCTTCAAACAGATACAACACTTGATTTCTCGCATTCAGTACGAAGTAACATTTCTTCCATTTCTTCACAGAGCCTGTTTTGCATTTGTCGAGAAAGCCCTTCTTCAGAACTGATTCGTAATTTCCGACCAGATCTGAAGCGTCTTGGGATCTGGTTGACATCCGACTGCGTAGCACTGTCTGTACGTCTTCATCATCCAGTTCCCAGCTTGACCTCTGACCGTTTGCAAGCCCGTTTCTACTCTGTTGTTCATCATTGAGTTGTGAGGCTGCCTTCATCTCAATTAACGGTTTGGGCTGACAAGAGAGCAACATTTCAGAAAATGGAACCTGATATAAAACTTACTAAGATTCGTGCAGAAAACCTTATTGAGTCCAAAAAAAAAATGAAAAAAATATGCCAATATCACAACGACCAAACCAACACCAATACAATGCATAGAATCTATCAAATAAATAACCGAAATGTGTTCAGAAATGGATGACTTATTCAGACTTTTGTAAGTAACAATGATAGTAATCAAAATTAGACTTCGACTAAAATCAATTCAATTCCAGAAACCCATAATGTTACCGGTTCAATTTTTCACAAACACCTGCAAACTAGTTTGAACAGTTGGAAAAAAAAACGCAAGTAAACAGAAAAAAAACACATGGCCTTAAAGCACTTGGAATTTCCAGAACAATTTCCAGCCAAATTTGAGAAAACTATATCATTAGACAAAATTTATATTTCACTGGGAAATCTGATAACTAAACTCCACTTTCGAAACTAGAAGTCGATCACATTTTTCGTGACCTCTACACTTTCGTTGTTCGATATAGAAGTTTGATATCCTTTTAACAAAGAAAATGAACGGAACTTTTAAAAAAAATCAAACCGCAAAAGCGAAAAAGTAAATTTGAGCTTGAAAAATTTTTAAGACTAGGGGCCCAGCTAGAGCTGGAGGTACCTGTTTAATAGTTTTTGATTTTCTTGTACTGATGAGGGATGAATTCGATAATTTTAAAAAACGGACTTCACCAAAACTTTGATTGTTTCTGCAAAAAATAAGAGTGAATTGTTTGGAGAATTTAGAAATTTCCTTAAGACATTTTCGTACAAATTTTAAGGCGTAACACTTCAAATAGATACAACACTTGATTTCTCGCATTCAATGCGAAGTGAATTTTTCCATTTTTTCAGAGCCTGTTTTGCATTTGCGAGAAAGACTTTCCTAAGAACTGATTGATAGTTTCGACCATATCTGAAGCGTCTAGAGATCTGTTGCCGAGATTAAACTATTGATATCAGCTTCGGCTGGGTAGTTTTCAGTAGTCGCACAGTTGCACAGAAAATCAAAACTTTTCTGGCGGCCATAAATTTATTTTTAACAAATTTGGACATCGCCATTTCGTCGAGGGAGCTTCTCTCAAACCTTTGTTTTGATTGAACCCAACATCTCAAATTGGGAAAGTAGTTCCGAGAAAACTCAAAAAATTTCAAAACGGTCAAATATTCTAAATTTCGACTTTTCAAAGGACCCTTATTTTAATGAAAAAATATTGAGCGTAGGCGCTTACGCAGGGGAGCGTCACAAAAACTGGTCTTTCGATTGAATTCAGTACTTCAGATTTGGGAGGGTAGTTTTCGAGAAAGTCAATAAGTTTCAAAAAACGGGCAAAAACTCAAAAGATGATTTCTCCGAGGACAATAACATTTTGGTTAAAGAAAATTGTCAGTAGCCACTAATACAGGTGAGCTTCCCACAACCTGTTCTCTCCATTTGACCCAAAATTAAAGATTTGGATGATAATATTCGAGAAAAGTTCAGAACGATCAATCTAACAATTGACTTTTTCGAGGGCCATAAGATTTTGTATACAAAATGGGCCTAAATACTTATGCAGTGAAAATTCCTAAATCTCGTCCCTACGACTGAACACCAAAATCTTAGATTGGAGGGTAGTTTTTGAGGAAAGTCAAAAAGTTTTAAAAAAACGGTCAAAAATCAAAATTTGACTTTTCAGGGGTAAATAACTTATCGTCTAGAAAAAAAATTGGACAATACTGCTGATGCAGGCAGCCTACCTCACCTCGTTCACTCTTTTGAGATCCAAAATCTCAGATTTGGAGAAAAGTTTTCCGAGAGAAGTCAAAAAGTTTGGAAAAAAGGGTCAAAAATTCACTTTTTGTCTCTCCGAGGGTCATAACTTTTCGTGTAATGGGTGTACCCCCGCTTTTGGAAGGGAGCTAACCACAACTTATCCTTTTAAGGGGAATCAATTCGGAGGGTAGTATTCAAGAGAACGAAAAAAATTGGGTCAAATATTCCCCCCCCCCCCCCCACAGTTTTTCGAAGGCTGTAGATTGTAGAGTAAGGTGAGGAAGTGACAAGAGGATTACGCACGCACACACAGAAGTGGGCGTAATTTCCATTGACTGCACTTTCTGAAAAACGAAAGAGTAGTTTCGGAGAAAAACATATTTTTTTGAGAAAAAAATTTCCAAAGCCTCTCCAAAAAAATTTGAAAAAATAAAAACAATAATACATTTTCATAAGACCTGCTTCTGTCAAACAGGAACATTTCCTGAAAAAAAATCATCGGAACCCATAAAAGTCTTGATTCAAATTTCAAGCTACTTCAAGATCATTAGAAATTCGAACTACGACTGACAGAGCTTGAATATGACAGCCCATTTACCCTCTCCAATCGCTCATTGAGGCAGCTGAAATAACACGAAAAAAAACACTCTACGCCATAGATCCTCACTACTACAAAAATTTGAAACAACTTACTGGATTGGTTAGACAGAGATTGTCCAGAATCTCCTCTGCTTGATATCGAGTGACCATCTGATCCACAGACGTATACTTCCTGCCTCCCATCCAATAAACGTCCGCTACTCTCGTGTTTGCCGAATCAAATGACTCATTCATACACTCTTCATCTTCATTTGCACCTGCTGCTGGACTGTTTTCTGGGGAAGTGGAGGAGCCGTTCGGACTGC